CTTAATTTATTTATTGTATTTAATGAATATACCCACTGTGGAAAATGTACTTTGCATAATCATTTAATTTAAATTTTATTTACTGCGAAGATTTAAAATTTTTTTCTTGGCGCGCAATCAGCATTGCCAGATAACAAAAATAAAAAGCGGCAACTAATGTTATCGATAAATATAATAACAACGGTCACACCGCCTATCGGCTAGCCACCACAATTACCATCTATAAACTGAATAAACTGAATAAACGAAGAATTTTTCGCTTCCTATGTAAATTTTTATATAAAAGACTGTGCAACAAAGCAATCGGGATTCGATGTGTGCGGCGGCGTTTAAGTGCCGTCGCTGATGCCTGCGTTAAAAGCTTCTTGTGGATATTTGTGTTACGGTGGCCCTGTTGTTGCTTTTGTCGGTAAATTTTTAAGTCTGATTTTCGAGTCTGTGAGGCAATGGAGACTGATTACCAAAATTACGTCGAGTCATTGTCGGGGGTTTCTTCGGATGACGATGATATCTCCACGGTGGATAGTTCTGATGAGGCTGAGGAGCCAACCAACACGCAAACTCACCCATTGCAGACGCAATCGCGAACGCGAAATCTGGTACAAATGTTGTATGACAGAGAGGTATGTGGACTACATACGTATGTACATATGTACATATGATCCCAAAAGTTCACTTCTAATAAATGTACACCCAAACTCCAATAGCGCACAGGATTTTTCTCAGGTCAATCACGGGAGGGCCAAAAACAGAAACTTCCTTACGACCAAGTGCCAAATAGGTTAAAATTATATCTGAAGGACGTGTTGGCAAGCAATGCGTTAGAAGGGTAAGCACCCCCAAAAAGGGAACGACAGTCACAAGACCCGCTCTAAGACCATTTCTTCTAGGCACATATTCATGGGACTGACTGCTTGTGGGCAGTACATGATCAGCCATCGAGTCGTGTGCAACGACAATACATCACTCAACCACTACTCCTTTAATGTAGGCTACAAGTACACGTAAGTGATAGCATTGACATATAAACAGCATTAAACATCTGTATTTTCTACCATGCAGTCTTTACTTTTGGCTCTTCCAACCCCACAAAAAACTGCGATATTTTTTCTCGCGCCGTTTGTTTGATGATCATGTGGTCGACAATCTAAAGTCGGTCACCATGACACAGTGGAAAAATGCAGATCAGCAAATTCTGGTGGTACATGGCGCTGCAACGGAAGAGAGCGAAGAAAGCTATATAACATATGTCAAAGTTCCTAAACTTGGTTGTTTGGAGTGTCGAAAGCTTTGCGATGACGGTCCATGTGATTAACATTAATGCATATATACCGATGGCCCAATAACCTACATTATATATTTTCAGATTCCTTTTACAACGCACACTGTCTCAATTGCCATTTGACAGTGCACACAAAGTATTCCTCAACCGAAACGGACCCCCGCTTCGAGCCGACAATAAATCTCCTTTGCCCAGAGCGCATTCTCATTATCTCGAATGGCTTCATGCACATGCTGCGAATCGACGTGGACACGCCGGCCGTACCCAATAGCAGCTCCTTGCCACAGCAAAATTATAGCCTGCCCTGCACTCAGCAAACACTGCTGCTACCACGCACTCCACTAGCCAGCGAGGAAGATCGCTGCTCGGTCCCCTTTACTGGTTCTGAAGCGGATAGTGAGCACAGCGTTGTAGCACGCATTATTGCGGATTTCAGTGACATTGAAACTGATCATACTCACCGCGCTAATAATGCCATTAACAATAAAGACAACGAAATTCAACAGCGCAGCAATGCAGAACACAATAGCATCGGCTACGAAAAGTTAATTTTTTCGTCCAACTGCAACAACGGCGTAACTGCGTCTAGTATGACACTGTTGGAAACCACCTTACCTGTAGTAATACAAAATGTTGTTGGCACCAATGAATCCACCCAATCAAGAAAGCGCAATCAGCGTATTGTCACTAGATCTTACCGTAACGGAATCACAACAATTGATATGCATGTAAGCTCTCCATGTTATGGTTGCTTTATAAATAGTATAATTTTATATTTTGTAGAACACATCGACTTCCAGCTCAATGACAGACAAATCAAATGCCTACGAGTTCTCCGAAGACAACGAAAAATGTGAAAAGATTTCAATATTTCGCAAGCGTCGTCTTGCTGATAAAAAGTATGAGTTCTCTGAGGATAACTCTGAAAACATCATACCGTTCACCAAAATTCGCTCAGCAGGACGTACAACGTTTAGCCCATCAACCGCTAGTTCATCTGGCCAGCGTAGTCTGCATCGGTTTTCACCCACGACACACTATTTTCACAATTCCCCATGTGCTTCCCCATCATCATCTCCACACCCAGCACAGCCATCACATACCCCGCCACCGCCGCTGCATTTGGGATTTCGTTCACCGCCTTCCAGCTCGAGTCTAATGCGGTCACCCAGCCGCAATGCAAATGCAGCCACGGTAGCTGCTCAAATTTACAATCAAAAGTCGCCACCGCTGTCCCAGGCGACACAACAAATGCTCAGTTATAAGCCCGTTGGACCTTTGGGTGCATTATCCCCATTGCAGGTATCTATGGCCAAGCGCTTTGAGATTGGAGGATCAATGTCACCCAACGCCGGGCTGTCATTTTTATCGCCGCGGCGTGATGAGCAGCGCATTGTCGAAATGCCAGTGCAAGGCGGAGTTATGCCAGAGAAGCCGGTATGCACCAAGAAGCTGCGACGTCGCTATGTAGATGAGGACGATGCCACTTCTGTAATAACGAGTGAAGAAGGTAAGCCTTTCAAAGATTACAATTTTGAATAATACTGTTTGACATATACTGTTTTATCCATAGACGATTGTATCTCACCGGGCTATCATACCTCGCTTCCCATGGAGGTGCACGGCTCTTGCTATTCTGAAATGCAAATGATTTCACACGCATCCTTTCAACGCTTGCGCTGCAGCAGCGTGGTTATTACACAACACTCCTTCGATCTTGAGACTTTCACATATTATGTTATTAGCATGATATGTCAAAAGCATCAAAAGATCTACAATGTATTTTACGACTGGGCCTATGAGTTCATCAGTGTTTGCCCACTAAGCCAAACTATTAGCTGTATGCTCATGGCACAATTCTCGGCACGAGATCAAATGCCTGCCACTCCAACAAATTGTATGTACTGCACAGGTCGCATGGGCTGTGTTTTTCACAATCGACAATACGAGTGTCGTATTCTTTTCACCTGGAACATGGAGAGTGGACAATGGCAGGTACTTGACTATGGCGAACTTAAAGAAATGCACGAACTGTTTAGCCCTCTTAAACGGCTGGGGAAATCTCGTTTGACCTTTGCTCAGGTGGCCAGACAGATGGCCCAGGAAATGTCAGCCAGTCTAAACCGGCTGCCCGATTATACCTCTCATTTGCGAGTACTCAACTCAGATATGAAGAAGTCTAAATCATCTATTTGCGATTTGGACAACATGGTTGAGTTTCATCTGAAGCGCACGATCAACTAAAAACTGTTGTACAGTTTTGCCGTTCCCTCGCCAAGTACAAGTGCATCTAGTTCAGTTTCAAACACAATAACTTGTGCTGTATTTAGTTTTAAAAAACTTTTTTTTAGTTTAACGAAACGCTTTTGCAAAAGTTTAAAATGCGTCCTAGTTTTGACTGAAATCCTTTAATTATACTACAGTTAGTAGTTAGTTTTATAGCATACATACAATAACGCATATGTATATAATAATATACTTTTGATATTTCACATCATACTAAATTCAACTTAAAAATAAATAAGTGAAAGAATATGAATGTGTGCTTAGAAATATGGTGCCACATAGCTAGATACGCCTGTCCTATGGGTTGACTTAAATATACAAATCTAATAATATTTTAGATATTAAGACTTGAGTGAGTGATTAACATTTTGAGAAGCTAATATGGCCAATACATTGCTAATTCATGACAACCAACACTTAAATATAAACTATATGTGCTTTTCAAACGTTTTTATTTTGTTTTTATTAAGCTTATGTATGGGTAATGGTTACAAAGTGTAAACCTGTCGTTTAAATGTCAATACCATCTGTAGGGTATGTACTCTATCCTTAAATTTAAGCCGACAATCATTCAGATGCTCTTCTGGGTTTTAGAAACATAACTAAATGGTAATATTATTGTAAAATGTTGATCTGCTTCGCTATTGTGCTCGCTCTGAAGACGTTCTCTCAGTTTTTGGCAGCAAAGAAATTTCAGTTAGTGGAGGTTGAGTAGAAGTTGACGTCAGTGACGTATCAGTTCGGGATGTCCTTTTTACAATTCTAATAAAAAGAAATTACAATTTGTTTAAATTAAAATGCGAGAAGAACTCACCGTTCAGCAATGGATTTTAAGACATCTTTTTTTATGATTGTCACTACGAACAATATGACACCTTGGCCAGATGTGAGCATATCAGCAAATGTAACCCACATTGAATTTACATCAAAAAGTGTACAAAAATATGAAATGATTTCAAGAAACCAGATCACGCCCACAATAATAAATAATCGAAAAAACATTTCGAAGCTAAAAAAAATAATATGTGCAATAACTGTCCCCGTACGATAAAATGTTAATAAAGCTTACTTGGTCAGATTCCTTAAGTTACGCTGGCATTCCGTTTTCTTTAACTGGCGTTTATTATTTTTATTTTGCACAAATATCCGCATTGCCGTTTTAATAAAAAATGTTGTATTGCATACAATCAAAAGAAATATTGGTCCATAAAAATAGATCATAGCCGACACATCATAAACTAAGCAAAAAGCTAAAGCAAAATAATTACATTAATAAAATCAGAAAATTCTTACTATTAATCCAACACGAGTAAAGCCCAACGCCAGGCTTAAATATAAACATGTTTGGATCCTCCTCATTCTCATCGACTTCGTATAAGAAATCAGCCAAGCATGTAACTATAAGAAATATGGCCGCAACACTCCATACAAAAATATTGTAATTCGTAAATCGGGACCTTCGGCCAACTCCAATGTTGTTAAATGTTTTCCACAAATTGTAGTTTATCAACAAAAGCCACAAGAATGTAGCCATGATTGCATAATAGCCACTATAGCCTGAAATATAAATTAAAATATGGAACATTCAATAACTCAATCGGACTTACCTATCAAAAAGCATATATGACTGTATTTTTTGTCCACCCATCCAAAACTTACAATAGCAATCATAAGAAAGCTCGCAGTTAGGCAGGTAAAGTAACATGTGCAACATTTTCCGTGGGTTGATTTAAAATTCGGTAGATTCAGGTAAACCACAATTATAATAGCCAGGCAGAATACCGACACCGTCTGGACTGTAAGTAGTAAGTGAAATGTTAGGAGATAAACAATTCAATACACCTTTGAGACATAATCGCCGGGGTGATACCCTTCACTGGGATATGTGGTAGCCGCTAAAACTAAACTGAATATAAACCCTGGAACGTTATCCTTATTTGTGTACTAATGCGAAGGCCGGCCTATTTAAAATCCATATAAATCATATCTTGAGCACAGATAATGATAAGTTTGGCTTATTTGTTAATTTCGACTCACAATTGAAAGGAATATTATTATTATGCTACTCATTTAACTAATAATTAAGTTTTCACAGCATGCCTTTAACTTTATTTCTGTTAAAATCTAATACTTATACATGAAAATCTTTTTGTTTCTTAAAATAAATATACTGAATTTAAGCAGGAACATAACAAGAGACTTGCGCTGTACGAAATTTGATCAAACAAATAAGAAAAACTTAAAAGAAATTTAAAAATGAACGCACGTCTAGGGATTAAAGATTTCGCAAAAAACAACTAAGAAATTAAATTGCTATCTGTTTCATTTAAGCAGATAGGCACAACTATATTGTTTTGTATTATTGGTTTTTCGAGCATTGAATGTGACATACATACATACATTAACTGTGTTACTCAAATGCGGAAATTGATATATCTTACTATATGCGTTGGTTTTCTCAATTGGTGGAAGGCAATGGTGAGGTTGTAGTTCATAGAGGAGCTGGCTATTCGGCCGATGAATTGGTTGCAGGCAATAGTCACTCTTAGATAAGTGCTCTCCATCGAAATGACGAACCAGAGTACCGTTCTGAATTATTAACAACAATGAAATAATGACGAGAAAGAAAGGCTATCTTCGGCACGCCGAAGATCTAATACCCTTGCAGACCCAACCTTTTCATAATGCTCTTAGTGCTTTGCCCGTATCTAAGAAGCACAGGGAAAATAGCTAATGCCGAGTTTGGTCAAGATATCTTTATAAACAAAAAAGGTTTTCAATCAAAAACCTGGCTTTCAACCGATCATTTCTATGGCAGATATATGATATAATAGTCCGATGTAAAAAAGATTCTGAACCTTGAATGACAAAAAGTTTTTCATGGAACAACTTAATTTTCGACCGATTGTTCCTATGGCAGCTATATGATATAATGGTCCGATCCAGCTGGTTTTGACATATGTACAGCGTGCAACAGAAAGAGGGACTTCTTCTTTCATAAAGATAGCTTTAAAACTGAGAGACTTGTTCGCATAGAAACAGACAGACGGACAGACGGACATGGCTATATCGACTCGGCTATTGATACTGATCTAGAATATATATTCTTTATGGGGTCGGAGATGTCTCCTTCTGTGCGTTACACATTTCACAAAAAAATTATAATACCCGCTGCAAGGGTATAAAAAGAAACTCAAACCTCAAACAAAGTCCAACCATGGTTTTCGTTTCCAGCGGCGTTAAGCAGTAGGTGGTCCTTACAAGGCACAGGGAGATGCTTTTGCACAATAAATTCCATAACATCTTTTTCTACTTTTGCGCCATCATGCATTGTTATATTCAAAATAGAACTATAGTTTAAATTAATAAGGCCTTCACATTTCCCCTCTCCTTTAACGAGTAACATTTGAGGATCACAACAAAAGCGAACACACGATTTGATTTGGCAGGCACATCCTCTTGTGTGCTCGGGCACCGGCTCGCGGTTACCATTAAACAATATCTGGTAGTCGTATAGGCCGACTTTCTCCTTTGGTATTAAAATATCCTCATATTGATATGTTCCATTCTCGAATTTGTGGCTATTCGTAAGGTCGACAGTATCAAAATAATCGCAGCCGGGAATATCTCCCACTATTGCAACAATTAGTACACTGAGTATACCAAGAGCAAATGCTACATTCTTCATTATAGCTAGAATTCTGAAAAAAAAAAACGAATTAAACTTTAATTTTAATTTATAAAATTATACAATGCAAAAGAGTTTCGTTACAGAAACTTTGAGCTTGTTTTAAAAATAAGAAATTAACATTATAACTGAGCCAGCCAAACAAATAATTATTATAAAAATGGAAAGGTTGCCAAATCCAACATTATATAAAAAGCTAAATTTAGGATATGACCACTTTATTTAGTGCACTAACCTAACAACATACCAAGTGTGCATTAGAAGGTCACACAGCGCTCCGTCAAGGACGGAATGATATACCAATGTAAGGAAATTTTTGTCAGACGGATTGACGTCGATTTGTCTTGCCAGGCAGCTCAAACCAACTGATGAGCTCCCTGATGGAATTTGAATCTCACTTACCAGAGCCGGGGAGTTGGAACAAGTTTAACAGCGCTTGGCCTATAGTAATATTTCGGGCGATTATTGACATCTACGATCTGCGGATAACCAAGCTTCAGGCTCCCTACAAAAGATAACCTCGAAGACTACTGGAACAGTCCCCAGCAGCTCTGGACCCTTAATAGTAATGCTTGGAAATAGCTGAAAGTGGCGACGAGCTCACTTAATTAAAATACCCTTTATTGGTCCACAGTCCTACTGTGAGATCCCGTACGCCTCCACTTAATTCATAGTGGCATCCCATATCCAAAAGGAATCAAAAAACCTCAGGTACTCTAGCAAGATACGACAAGCTAAGGTGCCTAGCCAATAAAATTTATAATTTTGGAAGAGCTGATTTAAGACATGGCCCTCTATATAATAATAATTATATTATTAAACAACAATTATGGAGATTATAACGTAAAAATGTCAATTATCGTATTATTATTTCAAATTAAAAATAATTTAAACTCCTGCCTGGCTTATAACTTAATTTAAATGCTACTTACAGATCGTAATAAATGAAAATCGTATTCAATTAAAAACACACCAAAAACTCACTCCAGTTATCCGCCTGGATGTAGAAGCCTTGCAGCATTAAAACGAACTGGAATACAAAGCTGTTATTTTTCTTACATTTCATAATGTGAAAATATTTTAAAACTGATTACTCAGAAAACACTTTTTATATTTTGTATACCCTGCAACCATTAATAACGGCTGATAACGGCTAATAAGGGTTTTTGCAAATGTCCGAGCCCGCAAAGTTTATATATTCCGAATCAGGTCGACGAGATTTTTTGACTTTTTGTTTGTTTCATGTCTCACAAAATAGCAATATAAATCAAATTTGAGACTTGTATTTTTTTAGCTACCTCCCCTATTCACCAAAACTTTAATTTAAAGCTAGAGCCTTGTAAATTGGCATAAACACTCATTTAAAAAATATATGTATATGCCCTGCAAATTTCGGATATCGCACAGAAAGTGGAAAAGTTATTCAACATTAAATTTTCCATAGTATGGAGTAAGTTCCACTTAAGCAACTGTTGTGCATAAATGTGTCATTAATGCTTGAATAAGCTTCCTGGAATCCACATTGACGTAAAAGGTAAATATAGCCTTACTTCGAACCTTCCAACACGAGGCTTCCAAGAAGGACAACAATTAGGGAGAACTAGGATTATTTGTAACTATTGGCCTTATCAGAGCTGCGTTACAATTATAAATCGAACATGTTACCAATAATAAACTAAATTTACCTTAATACTTATTAAAATTACTTATATTCGTTGTCTGGAAATATATTTATGGCAATGTTACTCTTCAGTATGTGATGAAATAAGCATTGTATAAGATTTAATTTAGTATAGAATCATAAGTAGAAGGTTTATAAAATGTAATTATATGGTATGGTATGGTTAATAGATTTTTTTTTATTTTACTCTTATTTTAAAAATAGGTTATTTGATAGATATGTCGTCAAATAAGCATTTGTTCAGTTCAAATATTTTATTAATTTATATTAAGAATTCAAAGTGTGATGTTAAAAACCTAAGTAAAATGTTGACTGAGTGGCACAGGGTATTTTGTAGTCGAGCACACTCAGCTACAGCGTTTCTACTTCTTATAATTTATACGCTCGACTGCGATAAGATCCATAAATAACATATTTCTTTTTATCAAAGCATATGAGAAATTACAAACAAGCTACATTATGAGAATTAATGCTACAAACAACAAGAGTCAAGAGCTCACGACTAGGGAATACCCTGGACCCTCTTATTCCAACATCAAATGCAGTTCGCGCAGCGCGCTCGTTTAAAGTAATAAAGATCAATTTAAAAAAAGTTCCCCTGGAACGACTCTACTCAACAGCCACACCAGCCAAAAAAAAAAAACAAGTAAGAGGTTCTAGTCGGGAGCTCCGACTAGGGGATACCCTCAACTCTCTTCTTCCAACACCAAATGCAAAAATATAGACAACATGTCAAGTTTGGTGACTCTAGCTCTTATTATTTACACAATTTGCTCAAAAAACAAGATATCGATATAGATTTCTATCGATTGCTTGGAAACGGAGCAAGTTATCGAATATCGAAAACAAACTCGATCTGCGCGGGCACTTGGAGGACCTACAGCTAAAATTACAAGTCGAACGGACTGGTGAAAGGACGGACATACTTAGCTAGAGCGACTCGGCTATTGATACTGATCAAGAATATATATACTTTATGGGGTCGGAGGTGCTTCCTTCTACCTGTTGCATACATTGGTATAAAATCAATAAGCTTCTTCATTGTGTTAATCTGCAGAATTTCGCTTTCTCTCTCTACTAATATGTTAGAGTTTCGTCAAATGGAAGATACTGAATGAATAACTTTTTTATCTCTATATAACTTGAAATCATTTAAAATGGACAGAATGAATGCAGAATGAAATATCTCCGAAAACGTAAACATAAACTTCTTGGACATCGGCTGTACCATGTGCGGAGCCCTAAACTGGCCGTAGATATGATGCGGCCTCTGGCGTGGTTACCAACTAAGGCGGCTTTGAAGGTTTTGCACGATTGTTAGGAATGTTGAGATTAGCAAAAGATTCCCACTTCCCGAGCGGGGAACTTTTCAACTTTTATTGAACTCAACCTGACTATTATAAACATTGAGCAAGCATTGAGTAATAATTATTACTAATTAAAGTAAAACTGCAGCAGAAGCCCAAGCAAAGAATTTAAAACAAGTAAGAGGTTCTAGTCGGGAGCTTCCGACTAGGGAATCCCCTGAACCCTCTTATTCCAAAACCAAATAAATTTAAAACAAGTAAGAGGTTCTATATATATATACCTTATGGGGTCGGAGATGCTTTCTTCTGATGCTTCAATCGCCCAATTGAAAAGAAGATCCAACGTCAACAATTTGTCAGACATATACAAAATTAGCATAAGCATACGCTTAGGAAGGCAGCAATAATTTTCATTCGAAAAAGTTCATTAACATAACACATCTAGTTTATAAGACTGTGGCAAGAAAGCATGTGGTTAATTGATATTGTTTGCCCTCTCCTAATAAACAACAATAATATTTAACATAATATATACGTACATCTATACAAATAGGAGACTAGGGGAACCAAATGTTACTCGCTCTAGGAACACATTAGCTTTAGGAGTAAAAAAATAAATGAAGCAAGTAAAAGGGTCTAGTCGGGAGCTCCCGAGTGGGGAATACCGTCGTTTGGGATACTCGCTCGTTTGTTACTAAAACTACTAAGTAATTAAAATAAATTGAAAAAAAAGTAGCTTCCTCGGTAGGGTTTCAAATCGCAATGGAACGCATTCCTTGCCGCCGACTCTACTCAACAGCCACACTAATAATCGAGTCTTAATGAGAAAAAAAAAAACGAATTAAAAAAGGCACCACTGAAAACAATACAATCGCAATTGCAATGCTGTTGATAAAATTTAAGAAGGCGCGCAGGAATGTGTGTACATGTTTACAGAAATTCTTGCAATTTGCACTGTCGCCCTCAATCGCGTGGCCAGCCAAATCACGTTCTCTTTATAAATTCTGTGTTCCTTAACCGATCTTGGTGAAATATGTTACTATTGATCTTATTGTGCTATGGAATATTTGTATATTCCCAAAAAGACAACAGCATGGAAATTGTGGCTTAAATTAGTGGGATATTTAAAAAGGTTTATTTATAGTTACGAGGTAGTGCGGGTATAGAAGTTACACGTCAAATTTGGTGACTCTAGCTCATAAAACCCAAAACCTCTTTCCCTAAAAGATTATACCCCATTTACCCATTCTCGGCTAAAACCTGCGCAAAAGTCGTTTTAAAATATAATAAAAGCTTAAATAATTGTCGAAACTTTCTCCTTTATAAGTGCCTTTCAAACTTTAAATTTACGCCATATCGATATGTTTACCCTGTGCTCCTAGTGCCTGCGCAGATCGAGTTTGTTTCCGATAATCGATAACTTACTCCGTTTCCAAGCAATCGATAAAAATCGATATCGATAACCTGTTTTTTGGGCAATTTTGGTAAATAATAAGAGCTAGAGTCACCAAACTTGACATAAAGCTTGTAAAATAGAATATATATATATGCATTTAATGTTGGAAGAAGAGGGTTCAGGGTATCCCCTAGTCGGGAGCTCTCGACTAGAACCTCTTTCTTATTACTTTGTGAAAAGTGTGTACATAGTTATGGCGTTACACATTTGAGTGTATGTTTACATAAATGTACATGTGTTTGACTATGATATTCAAAAAACATGGCTTTCAAAACTACGTTGTTCAATCTGCGGGTGATTTGTTACACCGACTTGTGAAATTGCAAAGAACAAAAAGGCAGAAATTCTCGACTTAAAGATGACCAATGTACTCCTATGCCCCTGCTCTGCATACATTTGAATTGTAATAATTTCCGTGTTACGTTTACTTAATATGTAGGAATCGGAAGTAATAATAAATGAAAATTTGCGGGATAACGATTCTCCTACTAAATAAATGTATGTTTGAATCCATTCTAATGTGGCTTCTACTTGCTGTTTCATTCACAATTCTGTA